CGAATAAAACAGTGGTAAATAATGAGAATAACCGAACTTCGACTTACAATCTGTGTATTAGAAGTATGCCTCCAAGAAGGAATACTCGCAGCACGAGAGAAAATCCTGAAAGCCAAACACCTGATATAGCACAGTTGATAGCTCAGCAAATTCGAGAGGCAGTACCAACTATTGTTGCTCAGGTCACAGCAGGTATTAACGCAAATCAAAGGAGTGAAGGAGGCCCTAGTACCGAGAATCCTGTCAGAGAGGAGAACCGTAACACCGATGATAGAGGATGCAGTTACAAGACATTCATGTCTTGCAATCCCAAGGAGTTCTATGGTAAAAAAGGTGCAATTGGATTATTATCATGGATTGAGAGCATGGAGTCGGTACTCCATATTAGCAAATGTTACAAAGACTATAAGGTGGAGTATGCAACATGCCAACTCCAGGGAAGAGCCCTAACTTGGTGGAACATACAAGTTCAAACTCGTGGTCGTCAAGCTGCCTATGAATTATCATGGGAAGAACTCAADAAGTTWCTCAWCGAAGAGTATTGTTCTAAGAGCGAAATTCAGAAATTGGAAGTCGAATTCTGGAATCACACCATGATTGGAATGGAGATAGACAAATACACAGCCCGTTCTCATGAGCTTGCAAAGTTAGTACCTCATATGGTCAATCCAGAGGAAAAACGAATTGATCGGTATATTTGGGGATTGGCACCTGAAATCCGAGGGATGGTCACGTCGGCAAACCCAACCACTATACAAAACGCGATGGTTTTGGCAAACCGTCTGACAAATAATGCAGTTAGATCAGGGATTTTAAAGCAAGACAAATTTGGTGGAAAGAGGAAACTAGAGGAGCAATCGTGGAAAAGGACCAATAACAATTTAGGCAAGAGCCAAAAAGTGGTGAAGAATTTTGGAGTAAAGGCTCAGGAACCAAAGCTGTGTAGTCGGCCACTTCCGAAATGCAGCAAATGTAATTATTACCATGTAGGGGCCTGTCCCACATGTGGCAAATGTAATCGGTTGGGTCATATTTCCAAGTTCTGTAGAGAGGAAAAGGAAATCAAGGATGGAATAAGGGCATGCTATGAGTGTGGAAGTCAGGATCACTTCAGGAATAAGTGCCCAAGGATGATTAGACGATCGAGCATCCACAATGCCGGGAACCAGGAAAGGCAAACAAGTCAGGGAAATCAAGGAGGCCATGCTCGGGGAAGGGCATTTGCAATAGGAGCCGAAGAGGCACGTTAAGATCCTAATGTTGTGGCAGGTACATTTCTTTTAAACAACATCTATGCCTCAATAATATTTGACTCTGGAGCAGATAGAAGTTTTGTTTCCCTAGAATTTAGGCCGTTGATAAATATGAAATCGAGGAAGTTAAAAGATGCTTACACTATCGAATTTGCCAAGGGCCAAGAAATAAAGGTTGGGGACGTAATTAAGAACTGCACTTTAAGTTTAGCCAAAAAGGACTTTAGCATAGATCTTATTTCAACCAAAGCAGGAAGCTTTGACGTAGTTGTAGGTATGGATTAGCTATCCAAATATCGAGTTGAGATAGGTTGTTCAGGAAGATTATCCGAATCCCACAAGATGGAGTGCATTATTTGGGGAAATAAGGTTTGGATACCTAAGGTTGCTAATCTTCGATCAATAATTTTGGATGAAGCCCATAGATCAAGATACCCAATCCACCAGGGAGCAGATAAGATGTATATGGGTCTTAGGAATCATTATTTTTGGCCTGACATGAAGAGAGACATTGCCTTATATGTGAGTAAGTGCTTAACCTGTACAATGGTCAACACAAAACACCAAAAACTGTCTGGTCTACTCCAGCAACTTGAGATTCCCCAATGGAAATGGGATCAGATATCAATAGATTTCGTTACAAAGTTACCAAGAACAAGGAAGGGATATGACTCAGTTTGGGGTATAGTGGATCGACTTACGAAATCTGCACACTTTCTGCCTATTCGAGAAGATTTCAGTACAGAAAGATTAGCGCAGTTGTATATCAATGGAATTGTATCGCGGCATGGAGTACCTGTTTCTATCATTTCGGATAGAGACAACCACTTTACTTCCAGGTTATGGCAATCGATTCAAACATTAGAGGATATGTTGCGAGACTGTGTGATAGACTTCCGAGGTAGTTGGGATACCCATCTGCCATTGATCAAATTTTCTTACAATAATAGCTATCACACCAGTATTCAATGTGCACCTTTCGATGTCTTGTATGGCAGAAAATGTAGATCCCCACTTAGTTGACAGGAAATAGGTGATAGGCAACTGATCAGGCCTGATATTATCCAGGAGACAACCGACAAAATTGCAATCATCCAAGAAAAACTTAAAGCTGCAAGGAATCGCCAGAAGAGCTATGCCGATAATCGAAGGAAACCCTTAGAATTTCAAGTGGGTGATAAAKTTCTTCTAAAAGTATCACCATGTAAAGGAGTTGTACGCTTTGGAAAGAAAGGAAAGCTTATCCTAAGGTATATCGGTCCATTCAAAATACTCGAAAGAATAGGACCAGTTTCATACAAGCTTAGTTTACCCCCCGAAGCTTAGTGCCATCCATGACACGTTTCACGTGTCGAATCTTAAGAAGTGCTTAGCCAACGAGTCTTTAGTTCTATCTCTGGAAGATATTCAAGTTAATGAACGACTATGTTTTATAGAGGAGCCAATCAAAATTCTCGATCGTAAGGTTAAGTAGCTGAGGCGCAAACGAATCCCGATTGTAAAAGTTCATTGGGCATCACGGCATGGACCGAAATATACATGGGAAAGAGAAGATTCCCTGAGAAGCAAGTACCCACATCTCTTCCTTAACAAATTATGAGTTGTTATGAGCAAGTAAATTTCGGGACGAAATTTCTCTAACAAGGGGAGACTGTGACAGCAGTCAAATTCGAAATCCCATGCTAGCTTTTATTAAGATTAGATTAGTGTTATTGAAGTTAATTTATAGATTAGGAGTTAGTTAGATTAGTTTAGGTGAAAAATTTTAAGAATTTTCGGCAGTTGCTTAGAAAGTCCGGTT